TTAAGTTTGGATTTACACATTTTTGGGCAAAGTTTGATGTCTGATCCACTGTTTGTACTAACAGTAACAAACAAGTCACAAATTGAGAGTTAAAATATTATTATAAAAATTGCTGAAACTGCTGCCATTAGTTTCAGCCAAACTACAAACTTTTCTCCTGAAAATTATTCGAACTGTTTTTTATGTAAATATTTTACAAGTAGCTTTCATTGTTGAAAATGCTCCTTTTATGTGATATCAAAGTGTTAGTTAGCCTCAGTTCTTATAAAGAATTTCTGTCAGATACCGGCAAAAGTCAAGCTCAAGAACAAATGATTATATTCCACAATTCTTCTTCTAGTGAAATAAATGTAAAGCTTAAACCAAACTCGTATTTGGACTTAGGTATTTATCACTCCATATTTAATTGAATCTTGAACTTAAATATAGGGCGCGATATTAATCGAGACTCAAACCTTTTTTACGTCGCTTAGCCAGTCAATTTCTCATGAACAAAAATATATTTATCGGAAGCTGTTATTTGAGAACTTTTCTTGCGTTTGCCCATAATCTAACAGACTTTCAGTGTTCCATGATAACTCATGCGAGACTGCCACTAAACACTCGATCGACCGAATTTAACATTCTTTTTCTTTTAGCAATAAACCTAATGAGAGTATGGAAACCGTTCTTTTAACTTATACTATAATAACAAATTTTCGTTTTGCAACTTCGTGCCCAAAATTGCCTGTTAGTTACAAAGAAAACATTATATTTTAAATCGCGTCAGCTGGGTCTAGACTGCAAATAAAACATCCGAAATCCTGTACTTTAAAGGGGTAAAATACTTACAGTGCGCGACACTTGATTACTCTTGCCTAATGATTTTGAGTAATTTTTACTAATGCAAAAAATTTTCATTAGTAAGCTACATCAAACACTAGATTAAAGATTTGATTTTTTTGTAAAGCAAATATTGTAATGTTTAATGAGACACTTGATTACTGTCATATTTTGGAATTAACCTAGAAGACAACATTTAAACCTAATGCTTATTTTAATATTTGGCTATATGCCCTCCCTGCTTCTCAATGACTGCTAACCTTCGATGAGGCAATGAATTGAATAAGTTTTCTATTAGA